AAGCTTACCAGAACAGTCACCATTCATGTCTTTGCCCCATTCCTCCATACGACCATCCTTACTGGGCAACTGCATACCTCACTTCGTCCTCCCCACAACTTACAAAGACAAATGTTTCAATCACTCCTACGTCTTTGCCGAGCTATGAGCCACAGGATTCAGACGACGAATTGGAAGAGATAATTTCAGAGAAGCTGTCTGACCTGGAAGAAACACTCAAACGTTTCATACAAGCTTCTGAGGTAAATAATCAACTAGCAAATGCAAGGATGCAAAACATGGAAAATCACTTGGATCAGCTGTTTAACGCCTTATTTGAGGAGTCCAAGAGATCCCATCCTAGCGACACAGAAGCCCAATCTGAGGAGACCAATAGGGATGATCATGGGATTGAGTCAGACTATGATGGTGGAAATATGATGGATGATACACTTCCTAATGCATTTGAAGACCCACCTATGTTTGAAGATGAAGAAGAAGATAATAGTGTGAAGTTGTTTTTCCAAGAATACAGGAAAAAGTTTGAAACGGTACAAGCTGTAACTAATGAAGTCACAAATCACTGTGATCTTCATACAGAAACTCCCCAGCCGTTTGATTTACCATTAGTCTCAACACCTAAGGAGGGCAAGGAGAAGATCAATCATGATGATGGCGCTACTGAAGTAGGTTTGGGTATTGAAGATGAGTTGGGAAAAGATGATTACATGCTCCAAGAGAGTGAGAGCGAGTTAGATGATGTCCGTAATGAAGAAGTCCCGCTCCACAAGCAAGATTACCCTTCTTGTACACCTGCACCGATCCACTCTTACGTGGTTTCAGATTTGGATTTCTTTGATTCACTACTTGATGATATTCCTTTTGTACGGAGAGTGACAACATCATCCAAGAAGACCCTGATGAGAACGGTGTTAACGAGAGTTGGGATGCCTTCATGGGGAGTGATACAGAGTCCAGAGAAGAGGTTGTGAATGTTCATGATATTTGTGGAGAAGAAAAAGACTTTTCTATGGTGCAGTTTGATCACGGTGTTGCTCCTAATCTTTGCTTTGAGAAATGTTTTGAGCTTCCGGTGACACCTAGAGTAATCAAAGCTTTCACTCCTGTTCCCTATCCACCTGAAGAGGATGAGAGTTTCATACTTCACTTCTGTGCTAATGAGGGTTATGAAGACCATGTGCTGCCTACGCATATTAGAGAATTTAAGGATCTGCGCCACTTAATGGCATTTGTTGAAAGGAAGCTGGAAACGTTGATTGTTAGTGCACCACTACAGTCTTTGCAATTTGAGAGCTTATGAGGTATCGTCGGGCACACGACGTTAAAAATAGCGCTTCTCGGGAGGCAACCCGAGCTTATTTCTGCTTTTGATTTTGCTTTTGCTTTGTTTGTTGTTTGGTTGTTTTGCTTTGTGTTTTTGTTGCAGCTCAGGGTCTTGTTGTATGGATGATGTGCCAAGGATTACATTGACTCAGTTTAGTTGTGCATCGACCAACGCCTTAGGGAAGTTTCTTTGACTCTTTTACTCGCTTGTTGAAATATTGACTTGAGTTAAGTTGAGCATGTGTGACCCTATCCTCTTTACCCCCTTGTGCATAGTGCATTTTTGGTCATCGAGGACGATGCCAAAGTTTAAGTGTGGGGAGTGAATTGGGCATTCGGGCAGTAGTTGTTAGCATGTGCAGGTGTTAGTTGTATATTCATAGGAAATTCATGTCAAAATTTTTGAAAATTTTTCTTTAAACTGTGTCTTTGTAAACTGGCTAGCGTTTGACAATGATTTTAGAATGTCCTTGAAGTGTTTAGGCTTAAATTGCTTGCATGATAACGTGGTTTTTGAAAGGATGAAGGCATTAGTCACCCATTGAATGAATTAACAAAATTCCCATTTGACCTGAATAAGTCCTTTAGGAGAAGCCATTTTGATCCTGACCGTTCTTTGTTTACCCAATTAATTGAGCTCCATAGCCAAATGGCCTGTGTTCCTTACCCGTGAATATTTCTAACTTAGTCTTGATGTTTAGGGAATTAAGGGATGAATTTGCTAAGTTTAGGGAATTTTTGTAGGCGCCATTTTTGGCACTGTTCCTCTGCTCCAAATGGGGTAAGAGCAATCACTTTTTAGGAATTTGATACTTTCAAGGATTGCATTGTAGGCATGGATTCACTTTTAAATTAATGAACTTAAATTGCTATTTTTCCTTGGTGAGGCCGAGATTAGAATGGGGTAATGTCTAGTGAGAATCCGAAAGGTGAAAAATTAATATAGCTAGACCTCTTACTTTGCGAAAAAGGGAATGGGAGCCCCGGTCAAAAAGCGTAAGATGAGACTTGGGTATCTTTCGAAAGAAACGGCGTTCTCGTGCCAACATGACAAGGAAAACTAAACTTAAATTAATGAACTTGGAGGCTATCTCAAAATTTAGCTTTAGTCCTCCGCGTACTTCAAGTATACGTCAAAGCACAAATGTGCCGAGATGGTTTAGCTTAGTTGTACACCATATCTATTCTTAGCATAGGTTTAAATGATTGTTCCTAAATTGTGGCCTACTGAGTTCCTTGTTCCTAAGAATAGCCCTGAAGTTCCTGAATACATTGAGTCTTTGTTAGAATATTCCAATCTCTCAAAAGAAAGGGACTATTATTGTTATCCATGATCCATTCACCACCACCTTTACAAGTTCTTCTGATCAATAACTAGTTTATTTGTGTGTGATGTCACTACTTTGAGGATGTTGTGAATAATTTTGTCAAATATTTTAGCTAGAGTACAAAGTTGTAGTTTAGGGAAGAATTTTATTGGTTTAGTCTGTCTGTCCTGTGAATATCCCTTTAACTACGTGTGCATGCTAATTGTTTTGATTCCGTGTGGTGATTATCGTAAGTCCCGTTGTTTAGTTTGCTTGAGGACAAGCAAAGGCTTAAATGTGGGGGAATTTGATAAGTCCGTATTTTGACACGCATTTGATGTGTGTTGAGATCGTCTTTTGATGATTTTCCTATCTTTAAGGTGTTACAAGTCTCAATTTTAGCTCAAGTTATGTTTATCGGGCGTTGGTTCGAGTTTTGTGTTGTTTGTAGTCAAAATCAGGAAATTTGAGCCTGGTACCGGCACTTGAGGAACAATCGGGATGAGTTGAGAAGCATTCGAGAGTGATTAGAGAGCTTTGGAGGTCACCAGAAGATTCACGATGAAGATTTGAAGGAAAAAGAGCTCTAGGATTGGCTACGGGGTCAAAAGAAGATGAATGAAGCTTGAAAACGACGATCAGGATGACCTTCTGTCAATCGTTCAAGCATATCTCTTTGTAGAAACATCCAATGTACACAATTCAAGTTCCATATGAAATCTACAAATGATATAAAGACACCTTTGCGAGAATCTGAGAGGAAGAAGGTGAAAACAGAAGATGAAGTCAGATCATCTCTGCTGCAATTTTAGAAAGACACCTTCCACCGTTTTGATCATATCTCTTGATTGGGGGATTCAAATCACATTCGGCAACTTGGGGTGGATAAAGGACTTCATTATATACAACTTTCATGAAGGAAGCATTGCCAAATTCGGAAGTTAAGTAGGCAAGATCGTGCCCTCAAAGTCAGGCACGATCGTGCCTGAAGAGAAAAGCACCACGGAGCTACTGCCAGCCAGGCACGATCGTGCCTGGAGGGAGGCACGATCGTGCCTGCCCAAAATGCGCGTTTTTGCTCCAGAGGCACGATCGTGCCTGTCATCGTGCCTGGCTCCGAAAATCCTAATTCAGCTCAAATTTCACCCGATTTTTCTATTTAAACAGCCTGTAAACCCCCGTTTTCAAGGGGGAGCTTAGAGAGAGTGCCTAGCACGAATTTTAGAGGGCTTTTCAGCCTTGTTCATCAATCTTTTGGTATTCTTTGTAAGTTCCACCTTTTTAATTAATGACAATTTATTCTTTTTATTCCAATTCTATTGATTCTTCAATTATGAATTGTGAGTAGTTTAATTAGGGATTGGGATTGATGAAGGGGTTTATCATGATGTATGGCTAGTTTCTTGATGGATTAATTGCATGAATGCCGTTTAATTTGTGTTTGAATAATTTAACTGACATCTTTTGTAACCTAGAACGCGCGCTAAAATTACAATTGCTTGTAGAATAAATTAAGAGAGATCTAGTTTATTCTTAGACACATTCACACACACTTAATCGTTCACTAAGAGATTAGTAGCGATTAAGGGGCCATAAGCTCGCTCGTCTTGGCAATAATTTAGGATCCTGTCGCATGAGAGATCAACCTGGTCCCCTAAATTATTGTACTCTACGCCGCGAGAGCGGTAAGAACTTAGTAATGATTAGCTAGGCTCAATTGAATTAATTTCATGTAATTAGGCCTGATCTGCCAGAAATCTGGTTACCCCGGAATTAATCCCTATTCCCTTCGTCATTAATTAGAGAGAACTCATTTATTTTAATCGTTTAGTTGCATTTTAATTTTTCATACCAATCATATCTCGCACGACACATTTTTATTTATTTCTTTTTAATCGCTGATTTAGTTAATTCTTAATTCTCTTTTGTCCGTCCCTGTGGAGACGATACTCGTACTTACACCACTATATTACGAACTATTTTAAGTGCGAGAAAACTCACATCAACCCGACTGATGATGGCGGGGAAAATAGATCTGGCGAGCGACACTTCGCTACCGAAAGTAATATCTCTAGACAACGCTAGGAAATAAACGTATAGATAGAACTGAAAATACTGATTATACGAAACTTTTTCCATGATTGAAATCAAAAGAAGAGAAGAAAAGAAGGAAGGAAGAGGAGGAGGAGGCTAGGGTTTCCCTTCGCCGCTCCTCTCTCCCCTTGCGTGACTAACTGCGAGATACGGAGCATGCTCATGTATTTGAGCATACTCTAATAATTAACTATTAGTTATGTTTGTGTAAATAAATTTTATTTTCGTAATATTTAAAAGAAAAAATAAAAGTAATACGAAGTATAAAGGTGATAATTTAAGTAATAAGTAATAACAACCACAATTATTAGATTAATTATGAATAAATATATGGAGAGGATACATTGATACGTGGGCTAGCACAATAGGAGGTAGCCATCCCCTTTCACAAACTATAAAATCACAACTATCACAAACTTGTTATGAATTTATTTTTAATAGAAGGGCATTATTGTTGCTCTTATTGACGAAACTATAACTATAAGTTAAAAAAAAGTTTCTCACCATTCAAAAAAAAAGATAGCAGAAATGTCCGGGCATTTTTCTGCCTCTCAGCAAAAAATAATAATAAAGTCATTATTATGGAGTGCCTTTAAAATTGTAGGGAAAAAAATTAGGATGTTATTTTGTTTTTCAATTTCTCATATACTGAGGTTGCGGCAGCAGCTCCTTCTTCCATGGTTGAAGTCACCGATGAGGATGAGGGAGACGATGATGGAGATCCCGAAGGCGAATCTGATGACATAGACGAAAATGACATTGATGAAGGTGAACCGGAAAATACTTGACACTCTGTCATGGAAATGAGTAGAGAGGACACCAAAAGAAGAACGATGAATTTTTTGGACTCCATTTTTGTTTTTTTAATTGGTTTTGAGTTTATTTGCTTTTTATTGTTTTTTTTGCTTTTGAGAAAGACTTCAATAATGCTTGAAATATGTGAGGATGTTCGACATTTATATAGGTGATGGGATCTTGAAACCTAGTGGTCATGAGAAAAGATAGATTTTTTTAGGACACGGTTATTTTACCATAAATAGGTTTCATTTTTTACGGCAAAAGTTATTTGACCATTGATAGTATGTAACCAACTATTTGAATTTAGAGAAAGCTGTGATTTGAGAATTTCTTTTATACTTTTGTATTTCATTTCTCACACATTTTGAAGTGTATAACTTTAAATTTGTCCTGTAATTTTTGCATAGGAAACAATTTGTAAATTTAACTCTTATCGCTGGTAGTTTTAGCAATGCAGCAAACTTCCATGAAACTTTGTCTTTTACACTGAAATATTATCGTATCGTTTGATCTTGTACTCTTGTCGGGTTTATTTAAATCGGGTTAGGTCTGATTTATTAGAGTCAAGTCAAATATGGTATTATAATGTTTGAAATATTGTCTAACAGATGTGGTTTAATCTGATCTGATCTGATATTGAAACAAGTTTAAATGAAAAACATTCCTCATTGTGCAACATGTTATAAAACTATTCCTTAACTTTATAACATGTTATAAATATAGTCTCTGTCGCCAATAGTTTAGAAATAAAGTTTTCTAAACAATTAACGTAACATTCATTGAAGGCTACAATTATAACTTAAGTTTTCAACATATATATTCTGCGGGCCACATTTATAAGATATTAAAATATAAACAAACAACATTTCAAAATTCAAAATAAATGAAGATCAAAAGTGGGGTTCTCGCTTCTTACAAATTTTAAAAGTAGTGTGTGTTGGGATTAAAAAATTGAGCTAACATGAGAAAATACTTCATATCCGTTATCATCAGTTTTTCAAATCATAATAAATGAAGCTTTCTTATGTCTATCATCGTCTTATTCCCCTCCATCTTTCCTAATCCATGAAGAAGTGTGTTTTTTCATCAAGTATATATCGATTGGTATTAATACTAAAAGGTACTCCGTATTGAAGTTGTTTCTAATATTAAAGCTACCTTCATAATTGAATATACCATGCTTCAACCAACTCTATCTTAATAATGTTGTTCAATATACCTTGCAATCACAAACTTAGATGCTGTTTATAACCAAAACTTTATTATTGAAAAATTAGTAGGCTTTAGGATATGTATTTCAATTCAACCCACAATTTTGCATCTTTCTATACCTATTTCAACCTACACAACTAATTAATTTGAGTGCATACTCTATTTAGCTATTCAACCCATACTCGAATAGGACTTAATAATGTTTTCACATACTCATTCGATCAATTCGAGTGACCCTTCAATTTCTTCAAACACATAACATATCATAACATTATGACCCTTTTCAACCTATATTTATCCTTTTGGCACATATTTACCCTTTTCGACCCCCCTATTCATCCATATTTAACTGATTCATTTCAACTCATTTAAGCATATATATAAGCCATCTATTTTCAAATATTTTCTTATCTAACATATTAAATGACATTCTACTACGAAAAATAGTGATGGTAATATTAATTTTGTACAAATATGACTCGCATGTTGTTGTATGTTATGTATGGCTAACAATGGAAGATGAACGAAAATGATGAGTATTAGTTTTAACTTTTAAGGATGACTTGAAGCATGGGTTTCATTCATTTTTGAAATGCATGTATGAAGAGGTTGGATTTAGTCAGTCACATAAGTTAAAGGTGCCATTTCAAATTCCACGATTTGGAAGAAGGATGGTACCATATGGTGTTGTTGGGGTTAAAGCTTTAAGTACTTTTTTGAAAGACAAGAAAGCGACAAAGTATGTTGTTGAATGCGGATGATAATCGAGTAGAAATGGTGCTAGAAATTGAAAAAAGTGGCATTGGAGGATCTACATGAACCTTGTAAAACTTATCCAAAAGGAGTTTACCATTACTACTTCGGTTGTGATATTGTTGTAGACAAAGCTTTGGGGCATGATCAAGAAGACATTGCCCTTATTCAAACACTAACATATTGTAGCAAAAGAATGGATTGTGAGGAGTCTTATGACACTTCTAAAGGGAATGTTTCTGATTGTGAGCTTTGGGAGATTACCAAGGGACATACGTCCATACCTGCACTTGAGGATGATACCATTTTTTTTCTCCCGGAGCATACCACACGTGGTGGAGGAAGTGCCGGGGAACACTTCCCAATTTTATTAAAAATCATTTAAAAGTACAAGGAATTGAAAGATACAAGAAAATTAAAGATACATATGCCAAGTGGAAAAACAGAAAGAAGAGATACATTAGCAATTAAAAACCCTAGTCATAATTCCAAGTGAAGCTAAGATACTCCTGTCAAATTTGTTGTGGAACCTTATTGCGTTCTTCAAATACGGTTGGATGATACCATTTGTAATGATATTTTTGAGGATGGTTCTGATTTAGAGTTCCTTAACAACGAAGCGGTTAAGAGGAAGCTTAGGGAGGTAGAGTCGTAGAGATTCAAGGTAATTTTGAAACCAAAAAGGATAAAATGTGATAGGACAAGGTATTTCCTTAAATGACTATATGGCAGTTGTATTTGGATGATGTGTGCATCAAATATATATCATCTACCTATTTGTCTATGATGTACTCACTAGGTCTGAAACTGAAACTGAAACTCTTTTTGCATCAAAATTGTATTACATGGGTAATGAACACGTTTGTTTTTAGGCAAATATCAGGAAAGATCAAATGCAAGAATAGCTAACGTTTCCGAGCTTTCCTACGTCTAGATTCCACCTTCTGCCACTTCTTTCTAGGAACCACTTTGCTCTTTGGTTTTAACTTTAATTCAGGAGAAAACTTGTAGTCTGGATCTCTCATACGAGCTTGAATATCCTTAAAAAACTGCATATTCAGCTGCTTAGGTCCTCCCTGCCTCAGTTCAGCATATTCTGGCCCAGAAATGATGTTCTCGAAAGCCCCTATTAGAATGTCCACATCACTCATGACCTCCCACACATTAATGTATCTACCATCCGGCCCTTTCTTCAATTTCTTAAGCGCATTTTCAACTGCAAGTTTCCTTGCTTTCTTTCCAGGTGATAATTCTTCCGGTTCTTCCTCTTCTTTTAAAGCCTCAGAGAGTGTTCTGTACTTCGGCTTTTCATCAAACTCAAACAGTTTATCGATATATTCATCACTCTTCTCATTCGGGTAAGCTTCTGTGGGAACATCATCTTCATCATCTCCTTCACTACCTGTCCACAGTGTCTTCTCTTCTTCTTCATCACTACCAGACCACACACTTCTTAGTTCATCACTGTCATCAGCATCAATGCAATCTGAATGTTTTATAGCTCGATGCTTGGCCTTTTTTATTTCCTTCTTTAAAGAGCTTCTTGGCTCATTTTCAGGGTCACTCTCATCCTCACTTGCAGTCCATAGACAGCCATCCTCATCTTCCATTTCTTTAGCCCAGGTTTTCCTAAATTCTTTGGCTCCAGGCACACGGCCCCCAAATAGATCATAATGGCCTCTATTTCGAGCGTATGATCGTGATGCTGCAAAAGAAAAGTAAACAGGTAAATTGGTGCAATAGTCTACTCTATGATTAATTAAGTTGAAAGAATCTAAACGGTTCTATTCAACTAAGAGCCTAAAGACACAGATAATGAATCAGAGAACCAAAAGTTGAAATTTTTCATTGAAGACTTGTGGCAGACAGGTAATGTGCATCCAAAGACAGGTAATGAGAACCTTGAATATGGAGTGGGTATCTTGATGAGAGCCAATTACGAAAAGTGTTGCCATCAGTGGAGAATCCATGGCCAGTAGAGATTCTGAAGATGGAGGGCAGCGAGGACAAACGGTGGAGCCTTCTGGCTATCATTTCTGGGGATGTGAATTTTTTAGCATTTGTGAAATAAAATCACATTAATGGTTTAAAATAATTTATAGAAACAGTTGAGAATGAATCTGCTTAGTCATCAGTTTCATGTGAGTTGAGTAAGAAATTAAAAAACACGGGTAATGCAATTGACAAAGAGATGCTGAAATTTCTTTTTGTTGCAAAAGGAAGTGTCGTATTTTATTCGTGACTACAGGAGTGTTTGGGGTTGATTAAAAAAAGCACTTTTCAGCTTTTGGCTTTAAAAAAGTTGAAAAGAGTGTTTTCAAATGATAGCTTCTGCTTAAATTAATCACTTAAAAGCTAAAAGCTGGAAGCAGGTTGAAGGGTGCTTTAAACTGCTTCTCACTTTTTCTATTACACAAAAAGTACTTATTTTACCAAACACTACCAACTTTTACTTTTTCAGAATCACTTTTTTCTCAAACACTACCAATTTTTACTATTAATCACTTTTCCCAAAATCACTTTAAAAAATCACTTTTTTAAAGTTGAAGCCATCGCAAACACTCCTGTAGGGTCTCTCATTGACTGAAGCATTTCATTGAAGAATTGGATAACCTATAAATTGAAATAAATGATTTCAAGGAAGGAAAAAAATGTGTGTAGAGAAGGCAGTAGTGGTATGCTTGCGTTTTACAAACACATGCCTCAGAAATAATGAGCACTGGATATAATGTACCTGAAAGCTATTTAGCATCTCAATTCTCATCTTATAAGTTTACCGTAGTTTAAAAAATGTTGCTTTCGGTGCGCTAAAAACTTCCAAATAATAGTACAAACATTGGTAAATCTTATTTCGGTTAGGCCTGGGTAATAGTCTAATAGAGATTTTATTATATTTATATAGTCTCTCAAAGGATGATGTGTGTGATAGACTAATAGGTTCATGTTGATGCATGAAATATGGGAAACCCCAAAGAACAAAAAATTAGAAGGGTGATTTCAATTTATAACTCTAGGAGAGTTTTAAGTGTTGAAAAATCTTGTATTGCTTGAAGCCCTAAACACTCCCCTATTATCTCCGGATGAAAGGAAAATAAGTGGATTGATACTTCATGGAATAACCGTTACTTTTGACGGATTATTTCCCATTAAATAGTGTATAAGTACTAAAGAACAAATACAATATACGGAGTACTAAT